ATTTTTGTGATTGGATAGAAGATATTCGCATCAGATTTTTCTGCATGAAGGGCGCTTAACACGGGTGAGGGTAGTGGTGGCAAAACGGGCCTGGCCCATTGGGCATGCCCGTTTTACTCGCACTTTCGTGCGGGACGGGCCAATAATTTAGGCCTTCGCCTTCTAATGTGATCATCCTGCCCCGCCCCGTTTTCTTCGCGGGCTTTTGCGGGCATGATTATTAGCATAAAATTTTGCATTTTTAGGCCTAAAAGGTGCAGTGCTCGCGGGCTTTCTCTGCCCCGCAATCACTTTTTTATGGGATGGGCCTAGGTTTTAGGCCCTCATCCTCAACAATGCCCGCCCCGCCCCGCCTCATTTTTTGGCAAGCTTTTGCGGGGAGGGCCTAAACGGGACGGGCATGCATGTTTGCCACCCCTAGATGAAGGCGTTTAGCGCGGGTGCTTGGGATCAAAATTTTTGATTTTGCATTAATGACTTAGAGGTTTGCATGCTTATGATTTATCATTAGTTTACATGAATTTTAATAATTTATTCGATGTATTTTGGATTGGTTTTAAATGAGTTTTGGTGAGGAACATGATACTTGATTTTTGTATATGTATGTTGTGTTTTAATGGTGATTGAAAATAACATTGGTTGGCTTATATGCTATATGTTAATTGTGAGTTGTAATGATTATTAATGCTATACAAAAGCATTGTTAATGATGATTATATGATACATGATATTTCGTGCAATTATTGGTGGATAATTCAATGTGTCAAATTATTGTGATATGCTTGGATAATTAGGATTGTGAGATGGTCTTAATTGCATATGTTTGTCGATAATCGCACATGCATTCATGGGGAGATTTTACTCCATTTGGTGACTTTGTTCCTTGTGTGGATCGGAAGTAGTGGACTATATGTTCATATTTGGGCTTTGATTCTAGACCGGATCAGAAGCGTGGCTCTGATTTTATATATGGAATCGAGAGTGAGGTGAGCTAGATGTTCACGTTGGTATCACGTGCATGAGTCTCATTGAGTGCATTGGAGTCTCATGAGTCATTATGTGATGTTTGCTTTGATTTGCAATATATGATAATTGGTTAATGGTTACATGGATGTTACATTTGTGGTAATTGTACTATATGCGATAAATGTGTGTATTGCTATACTTGTAATGCTTGTATAATGATTACTTTGGTACTTGAATTGTCGAGTTATTCTATATGGATGATTATATGAAGTGTGAGGAATTCTTTTGATGAATGTTCTCTATGCATTACTTTTTATTATACATTTCCACAATGATATGAATTTTCACCCTTCTGTTGGAATGATGTTTTACGTGACATCGCTCAGGTACCAAAGATAGTGGCGCTTCACACGAAGATAGTTGAGGAGCTTTGTTTGGTTTATCTACTCGATTAGATAGTGAGTCGATGCTTTGGTCATGTAATACTGGGGGAATATTTTGAACTCATATTTGTTATTGAGAGATATTGTTATACTCTCGTATTTGTTATTTGTATGTTGAGCGGCCTTGGTGCCCAATGCTTGAATTATAACCTTATTTTGATATGAGATTTGGTATGTGGATATATGATTATAGTATGGTATATAATCATTAATAATATTTGAGAAAAGAATTATTCCGCTGTGATATGCATAGTTTGATGAAACATGAAGTTTAAATATGTGTTATAATTATGACCATGTGTATGTTGGTATTGGTTTGTTGTTTTTGTAAACACATGTGATGCCCTTTTAATATTATGCATGCTATATTTCTCTGATTATATTTTAAATTGCTCGGTGTTAGAATAGGGTGTTACATTCCAAACTTCGCATATATCGGTTGTCATGCGATCATAGTTCAAGTTACCTTTAGCAAATTGGATAGCAAACATGTCCAATTTTCTTGGATTAGACACACAATTATCTTGAATATATGCACGGATGACTTCTTTGTCAAAAGGAACCACTTGACCTCGAATTCAAGATAATCTTTCCATAGGTGTATTTTTTGTGGGCTTGGCATTGTCATAGAATTCCTTGACGATGTCTCGGTTAAGATGCTATAGAGGATGTTCTAGAATGTTCCAACCTCTAGCGTTGATCTCTTGTACAATATATGAATAATCACATCGGTCTTCTAACTCAACTATCCACTATTGTACCATGTTGTGGCTTTCAAATTTAGTATAATTTTTTCCATGAAGGTGGTTCATATACTTGTGGTCATTATAAGGTGTATCAGACGATCCTATATCAGATGCTTGCCTTTTTTTTCTAACAATTGATTTTCTTGGAGCCATTTGCTACATTTAATCAATAACATATAATAATTAAAAAATTATTAGGCAAAATGATTAAATCCATAAAGTTGCAACCTTCCTTTTTTCACTATGTTTTTTGTTTCAAAAAAGATGATGAAATTCAAGGTTTCGCGTGTTCTTGACTATATTTTTAATGCCATGCAATCATTTTGTCTCCAAGTCAACTTAATGGGATATTATCTAAAACAACCTAGAAGTTAACACAATGAAGCAATTATATCATCTTTAATTTAGTTCTAAACTAGGGAAGTACTTAATTTGTTCAACCAAGTTCAAAGTGTATAAACATTGAAACATAATGCACAGAGTAAAATGACATACCTGACTAATTCTAAACTGAATCAAAAAAGAGTGAATTTGGTGTTTTTATTCTTCGAAACACCTCTCTTGGGTTTCTTAAAGGTTTTTCGTGTGATAATATGGTGAAGAGGATGCGAGAAAGTATTTGAAGTGGTTGATTTAAAATCTGACTTTATTTCTCAATGTTCTAAAACAGACCTCTCGCTAAGCGAGCTCCACCTAGTTAAGCGAGAAATCATGATTTTTAAAAGTTTTAAAATATGGTTCTTCTCTAGTCGAATAGATTTTTACGAAGCGAGAAGTGGCTTAGTGATTCTACATTGGACGCACTAAGCGAGCGTTGGCACGTGCTAAGGTGCACTTAGCGAGATACCCAGCATTCTTTGTTATATCTTGCTTCCATAATTGTGATTTTGAGGAAATTTAAAAGACTAACTAAAAAGTCTATAAAATGGATTAGGTTTCCTCCCATCAAACATTTGTTTAATGCTAGTAGCATGACAGTTGTCAGTATTATATAATATCAATTACCTTAAAACATGCCTCGTGGCCTTTGATTATGACCTTCACTTGACATGTGTCAATGTCCACCAGTATTCTTGCGATTTTTAAAAATGGTCTTTCTATAATAAGAGCTATTTTTCGATCTGTCTCGATATTTAGAATTGTGAAATCTATAAAGAATGAGAAATTGTCAATTTTGATTAGAACATCTTTGATTGTTCTCATTTGTATTCTGCATGTTTTGTTTTAGCCATCTATAGAGTTATCAAAATTGGCTTTATTTAAAGGTCACCAATTTTTTTACAACTTACAATGATATTATATTTACACTTGTGCCCAAGTCTAGGAGTGCACTTCCAACTTCCACATCACCTATGGATATAGGTAACATGACAACATCAGAATGTGCTTCCTTTTAGGGTAGAGTTTGTTGGATAATTTTGCAGTTTTCCTCCTGTCACTCGTTTGGGTTTTCTGTTTCTTTCTTCTTGCCCTTAACAATAATGATTTTATCAATAACAACAATATTACAATGCTCTTTAAGATTATTTTGGGTGTTTGCGTTTAATGTATCTTTTTGTTGGTTAGTCAATTGTTTTGCTAATAGGTTGCCTTGCGTCTCAAGGTTTCTTATAGAGGCTTCAATGTTCTTTTGGCTGCTAATAGACGCTTGCATAAAGTGGTTGAGTGTATCCTTCAACTTTGTTGTTTTATCTTGTTGAGGAGGTGTTTGTGTGTAATGCTGACAAGGTTGTCTATTTAATGGACCAACTTCAAATTTTCATCTTTGATTGAAGTTGTTGATTTTTGAGAAGTTGATGTTTTGATATTGCTCGGGCCTTTGATAATTGCCAACATAATTGACTTCTTCAGTTGGGAGAAAAATCTAATTGGATGATCACTGCTACATAATTCATAGAATGCAATCTATCTATGTTGTGGTGATTCATGTATCTCCTTTAATTGTTGTGGCAGTTTAGACAACAGTTTTGTCAGCTCATCAATTTTTTGTGTCAACAACTTGTTATGTGCGAGAATAACATCATTGGTATTCTACTCCATGATATCATTTTCTCTTTATGAAGGATTTATGGTATGTTGTCTTTGATGATCATTGAGCGTCATTCTTTGAATGATTGACATTGCATCCTACGCGCTCTTTGACCTCAGATAACCCTTGTAGTAGTACCTAGCAACAACTTTAGTTGATATTATAATCCATATGAATATGTGTAAGATCGTCAAAATAATGATTTGAAGATTTCCTCATGATAGACTTGTAGTTCTTCCACACTTCCCAAAGAATTTCAAATGTACTTTAAAGAATATGACAATAATTGTCTTAACTTCTATAAATTTAGTGTGAATCTATTTAAAAACTTTTCCTTCTGATATTTTTTAATTTGTCATTATCAATGTTGGTTGGTCTTCCATGCATTTTGCAACTTGTAGGACTAGCCAAGTAAATATGACAATTCCATTCTAGCCACAAAGCGAGATATTTGTACATTCGTTCTAAACACGTATTTTCCATTGTATTTTTCAACTATAGAATCTTTTGAAAGCACCAAACACTTCATTCTCTCATTTATCCTACAATCGACCTATGGATGAGATTAAAGATCGAGATCATCATCTCTTTGGATTATTATCACAATATTAAATATAAATTACCTTGCCACATCCACAAAATATTACTACTTCTTTCAATAAGCTTAATTCCAACAGAATTCGGAGTGAGTCACTTTCACTCATCCGTGTCAACAATGAGATGACTAGACCCCCACCCCAATGCACCAAACCAAACGTAAGATATTTTCTGACAAAATGATGCATGTATATTTTACTATTTTCATATATTAGTGTTTCAACACGTCACTGATCCAATATCATGGTATGCTACAAGTGCTAACGATGTAAACAATGTCTCAAATTGCTCACCACATATTCTGATATACAACAACAAGAACCGTATCATCAGCCACTTCCTCACTCGATCATCAACTCTTGTTTGCAATAAATCAATACACCTCTGAAATCTTGTTGCCAAGTATGAAAATTTGTATCTTTCAATCTCAGACTGTGGTTTATGTTTCATGGTGAAACTCATGAAAAACACCGGAAAACAAAGTAAGTGACTCTTCAACTAGGATGTTCTGTTTTTCTTACTTAGGATGCTCTCTTTTGTTTGGGTTTTATCTAGAAAGCAAGAGAAAAAATGTTTGTTTCACTTATTTTATAAACTTCTTACATGATGAACTTATTCACTAATAATTGTGAATTGGTTAGCACAAATTCAAAAAAAAATTGTGTAAAATGAAATACCAGCAACCCAAACATAAAATGAGATTTAAATGAAACTATACTACAAACAAAAAAATCTTTTAACTAATTCCTTGAAGATTTGTTTAGATGATATTTAGATGTGAACATACACTAGTTATTTATAATTGATTTTAAGCAATCTTAATGAAATAGTTGACGTGGGTCTATGAAATTTGTCTTTCAGTTACGGGTGACAAAATGAGTCTGGCACATGTATGTACTTTACTGTGGGACAGACCAAAAATTCATGTCTGTATTCTCTAATGTGTATGTCTTGTCCATCGTGTTTTTTTTCCCGAGCTTTTGTATGCACGGGTATTAAAATAAATTTTTATATTTTTAAGTTTAAAAGACGTCATATCTGCAGGTCTGCTCTGCCCCACTCTCACTTATTTGCAGAACAGATCAAAGTTTTATACTCACATCATCAACTAATCTCGTTCTGGTCCACCCCATTTTATTTTTTATTCATTTTTGTAAAATGGGACTAAACCAAGCCTGCATGCCCGTTTGTCACCATTCATCTTAACCAACTTATAATTGAAAGGAAATTGAAAGGACTAGTTTTATCATAGTCAATGTGAGACTATAAAGTTTTATAGTATACCTACTCTCTATAATGTTCACGTACCTAATTCTATAAGAGTATAAGAGTTGCGAACCATGTATCGAAGCAAATCATGAATTATGTGATTATGGTTTTAAGATTCTTATATATTATTTTTTAGCTAACTAATTAAGCTACGCAACTTTCATTTATCTATTTATAATGCAGGACTCACGTGAGCAACTCCAATATAATCTTTTATCTCATTCCTATACATCTCTACAAGATATAGTCACTTGAGTGAAATTTTCATCACTATATTTCCATATAAAATTACTTGTAGAGAAATTTATATCCATAATCCATGGATGCTAGAAACATGTTGAGGTTCCTAGTTCTTTCATTTGGTTTTACACTAGTTTTACTTCTTACCTGGTTTCACTTTCCGACATCATTCCTTAACAAGGAAACTCTAGACTGCAATGTTTACTCCGGTTGGTGTACCTCTAAGAACCGTTTCCACTCTTCAAATCCAATCAACAAACCAAAATTCTCCACTCACAACCAAAAACCACGACACGAATCTGATGTTCCTCACCACCCTTTAGATCCTCTAACCATCCGAGAATTCAACGAGGTTCGCGCGATCCTGTCTGAACACCCTCTCTTTAAGTCCTCAAACAGTTATACTCTTAATTCCATTGTTCTAGATGAACCTGACAAAGAACTTGTCGTCAAATGGAAAAAGGGTCAACCATTACTTCCTAGGAAAGTTTCTGTGGTTGCACTTGTGAAAGGTGTCACTCACACTCTTATTGTTGACCTTAGCACAAGTGAAGTAACCAACCATGAAACAAGGTCACCTTCTTCTGGATACCCTACCATGACGATCGAGGATATGCAAAGTGTACTTGATGTTCCGTTGAAGAGCGACGAGTTCAACCGCACGATCATTAAACGCGGTGTGAATTTATCAGACCTTTCATGCCTTCCACTGGCTGCAGGGTGGTATGGAACACCGGTGGAAGAGAATAGAAGGTTGATTAAGGTGCAGTGTTATTCAAGCAAAGGAACTGTGAACTTCTACATGAAACCAATAGAAGGTTTAACTGTATTGGTTGATATGGATAAGAAAGAGGTTGTGTCCATTACAGATAATGGACTAAACATTCCCGTTGCAAATGGAATCAACACTGATTACCGTTACTCGGTTCAGAAGCTCAATGGAGAGATGAATTACCTGATAAATCCAATATCATTGGAACAACCAAAAGGTCCAAGCTTCACAGTTGATGGACATATAGTGAAATGGGCTAATTGGGAGTTTCATTTGAAACCTGACCCTAGAGCGGGAATCATTATTTCTCAAGCCAAGGTGAGAGATACAGATACATCAGAGATGAGAAATGTTATCTACAAAGGGTTCACTTCTGAACTTTTTGTGCCTTATATGGACCCAACTGATGCATGGTATTTTAAGACATACATGGATGCTGGTGAATATGGATTTGGTTTGCAAGCAATGCCTTTAGACCCTTTGAATGATTGTCCAAGAAATGCTTATTACATGGATGGAGTGTTTACTTCTGCTGATGGAACACCCTTTGTCCAACCAAACATGATTTGCATTTTTGAGAGTTATGCTGGTGACATTGCTTGGCGACATGCCGAGTGTCCAATCACTGACATGAAGGTAAGAATTTTAGTACTCATGATTCAATTACTCCTCTGGTCTATTATATTAATCAAATACATTAATTATTCAATGAATCTAAAAACTACATTTATCGTATAAATAGGAGCAGAGATGGTATTATGTAATGTTATTTTCACTTTTATACCAAGGCTTATTTATTTTGGGTTTATGCTATTATGTGGCAGGTAACAGAAGTGAGACCAAAGGTGACACTGGTGGTTAGAATGGCAGCAGCCGTGGCGAACTATGACTATATCATCGATTGGGAATTTCAAACCGATGGACTAATCAGATCAAAGGTTAGTAACGAAAATCCAATTTATTTAGTTTGAATAATATTTTTGTTTAGGGAATAGTGCTGAGATTGATGCCCGTGTCACTATAATGTGCATAGTTTTGGACTGTGTACAATAAAATAAACTAATCATCGCGATACTTTGACATATATAGTATTTAATTCGATGACTGCCAAATTCATGTGACATTCAATGTTTACTAGCATTATTCAATGAATTGTTCTGTGTGCACTGCATTTTCAATTATAATTGTATTAATCAGTAGAAAATTGGACAAGTTGCAGTATAGTTGATAGTTTAACTTTAAGATAAGAGGTTGGACAAGTTTTTCTAGATTGATGCTACATGTTTTGTCTCATTGTATATTCAATAGTTTAAGCTAACATCAATTTTTTTCTGATGCAGGTTGGACTAAGTGGTATCTTGATGGTGAAAGGAACAACCTATGAGAACATGAACCAAATACCAGACCAAGAATATCTCTACGGAACACTTTTAAGCGAAAACATTATCGGCGTAATCCATGACCATTTTATCACATATTACCTTGACATGGACATTGATGGCTCAGACAATTCATTCATAAAGGTAAATATAAAGAAACAAGAAACCTCTCCAGGAGAGTCCCCAAGAAAGAGTTACCTGAAAGCTGTGAGAAAAGTGGCTAAGACGGAAAAAGATGCTCAGATAAAGCTTCAACTATATGATCCATCTGAATTTCATGTGGTGAACCCTTTGAAGAAAACAAGGCTGGGGAATCCTGTTGGGTACAAATTGGTTCCTGGTGCCACAGCAGCTAGTTTACTTGATCATGAAGATTCATCTCAAAAGAGAGCAGCTTTTACAAATAATCAAATATGGGTTACTCCTTATAACAAGAGTGAGCAATGGGCTGGTGGATTACTTGTTTACCAGAGTCACGGCGATGATAATCTTCAAGTGTGGTCCAACAGGTTAGAGATTATTTTCCATAGTCTATCTTTGTTAGGGTGACCCTTAATGCAATTGGAAGATTGTTGATGTCAAGAGTCTCGCATTGAATGAGTTATAATCTGAAAAATGTGTTTATATTTCTAAAACTGATAAAAAACATTATGACGGAAGTTGATCCATGTTACTGATCACCCTACTTAGTATGATAAAGCTTGACAGTTGTTGTTTTATATTTCTGAAACCGGTGATATTTTGATGTGCAGGGATCGTCCGATTGAGAATAAGGACATTGTGTTATGGTACACAGTAGGGTTCCATCATGTACCAAGTCAAGAGGACTATCCTATAATGCCTACTGTATCTGCAAGTTTTGACCTGAAGCCTGTCAATTTCTTTGAAAGAAATCCAATTCTGAGAATGCCACCGAATTTCCAAGATGATTTACCTGTTTGCAAGGCACGTGATTCAGCTTGAGAGATTTTGTCTCTTGGTTTTAGTCTAACTATGTGTGTGAATGATGCTGAAACTCATAGCCTTAAATAATTAGTAATGGCAATGATTAAGCTTGGATTGTGATGTTAAAAATGTAGAATGTTTTATTTCTGTCATCATCTACATTGTACATGCCAAATAAACAAATCAGAAGTTGGTCTAATGGAAGCATATTAGTTATCCAAGTACTACTCCCTCTCTGTCCTTGTTCTTATTCTAGATAAGAACTCTACAAATTTTAATGTTGCAGTAAGAAATTTTTATAAATTGTGCTTTTTTTATTAATTAGTTATTCAAACAGAAAAAATAATTTTTTCTAAGTATAAATTTATAGTTGAAAAAATAAGTCATTAATAAATTTAAAAGTTTATAAAATGTACAACAACTAAGACTTATCAATTTCCATTTGATAGCAAGACTACTTTATGGATTAAATCTCTTTTTTTTTTTTGTCTTGAATTTATAGAATTGTTTGTCTCTAAAAACAGTATGCAGAATTATAATATGTTTTCATTTTCCTTCAATTTTATCTGTCTTTTGAATAGAACCCTAATTAATAGTAGCAGCAGAATCAATCCTTATTATTTGGTGCTTTCATTTTCTTTCTCAATGCCTCCAAGAATCTCCAATCCCATACCCAAGGACCTAGATGATACTCTTCAAGCAACAAACCAACGTATTGAAGAAGATCTCATCTCTACCCATGATAACCTTGAATCTTTCATGGAAGCTAATAATCAAGTTGTTGTTGTCCAACTAGGTCAAATCAACCAAATTTGCAGACAGAAATGAATAACAATTTTGCAGCACTCACGAAACTCATGACTCGGCAATTTATAGCAATGACAGCCTCTAATGTTATACCCAGATCTGCTCCAACTTTCACACATAGACCTACTCATACTTCAACACCCAGATCTACACCAGGTATCTCTACTATACCCTTAACCACCCCTTTTCCCCAAACTAGCTCAACCCTAGCTTCTACTTAACTTTATACACCACCGCCCACTTTTACACGTTCAATCTCAACAATACACGCGGTTAATTCCGCCTTTTAAGCATTTTCAGAAACCTTAACACACTCATTTCTAGGGTTGTTCATGGTACGGTTTTCTTAGAATAGTGAACCGAATTAAACCGAACCATTATATAAGGTCATCCGAACCGAACCGAACCGTTTTATTTTTTTAGAATCGAACTTAACCAAAAGTTTTGTTTGGTACAATGGTTTGATACCTGACCCTCACATGTGTGAGGATTTATATAATTCCCCTGGCACGTAGTCATTGGTTCTTGTTTTTGGGCCTAGATATGCGGGTCCGCAAAAATAGGTAACTGCCAGGACTTGGTCATACCGAGCAGGTGTGCCCGTAACTAGTCGTTAGATTCGAGGAGGAGGTAGATTACGGGCAGCGATTTGGTAGGTTCCTGGTTGTCTGCGCGACTAGATGTCAAGCAGATTGAGAAGTGCTCGTCAATCGTCGTAGGTCGGTGTCGGTCCAAGAGGATAATTGATTGATGTTTCCCGATGGAGAGCAGGGGAGATTCAGGCCACGGTCGTGTGGACCATACCGAAAGAAGAGGTTAGACTGGGCCCACTCTAGCTGTCGGGCCAGTCCAGAATAGTGTAGCCTCTAAGTCGTTTCTTCTGGGCATAGGAGTGATGACTTTAACACCTGCTCGTGGGACGGGGCACACCGTATGGAGAGCGCGAGCATCGCCCAATGAGTTTTTCTCGTGGGGAGATGAATAGTTGGTCGTCCTGAGCTTTGAACTTGAAGAGGTAACATGTTTCGGATAGCATGCTGACGAAGCGGAGCAATTATGGCCTAGGGGCTAGGGTACAATGATGACGACCCTAGGGTTTCCCAAGTGTGTGTCTCGCACGCGCGAATGGTTTCAGCTATAAATACGAGAGGAGTATGGAGTTCTGTGTTTTTCGTTCTTTCTCCATACTGCTCGTTGTTGCTCGCCTGTCAACCACTGTCGTTTCTTGAGATTCACCGCTCTCCACTGCTATTTCAGCCTTCCTTCTTCTTTAACTGGTAAGATTTCAATATTTCATTGTTATTTGTCTTTTGTAGTTCATATTTTCATGATTTTCTTCTTAGGAATGCATGCGGTTAAGGTTTAGCATCTTGTCTGTTAGGGGGTTCCTGGGGAGTGTTGGTGGCAGACGGTGGTTCTATAGTTTAGAATCTTTGGAGCCGTCGTGGGTCCTCCCCGAACATTTCTCGTCGTGTTGTATATGGTCCTTTTGGGATCTAGGTCATTTCGCTAGACTTTTATCGTTGTTCCGTAGATGGCTCTTTAGGGCCTAGGGCTCTTCCTCATACTTTTGTCTATTTGTGCGCCTTAGTGAGAGTTCTGCTTGAGGACACGATCCTCGTTTATCAGCGCCCTTTCACTTGATTAGTGGTGGAAGGGTGGTTTTGGCATTAATGTCGAACTCATATCCATCCTCTTCTTTTTAGGTACTATGGCCGACAACGTCGGGGTTGACCTCTCGAGCGAATCTTCTGGGTCTTCACGAAGTTCTTCGGACGAGGCGAGTAGCTCGTCGAGCATTTTGGAGATTTCCGGGGATGAGCTGGATCAGCCCGAACAACAAGTGGGGGGAGGTGATGTGGAGATGTCTTCTGCCGATCAAGGTTGCCTGTTTCCCCCCGGGGATGATGAGGATCCGCGGGCTTGGATTGTGAATGATCCTTGGGACTGGCCCTCCTACTTTTCTGAGCATCGGGATGACGTATTTTCAAAGGTGTACGCACATGAGATGGAAACCGGGGAGAGTGGTCGCTGTATATTCTTGGAAAAGAGAGCAGGATCTGCTCGAAATACGATAGACGGCAGATTTCCATATACAATATCGTGTTCTGGGAAATGGGTCTTCAGATTATTTTCTCGGATTTTAAGGTGGCCGTATTCAGGCATCTCCGGCTGTCTCCTTCTCAATTGCACCCGAACAGCATTGCGTTCATGCGAGCATTCAAGATCGTTTGTGATTACCTGAAGATCGGGGCTACTATTCCCCTGTTCTTCTACTACTTCCATCTCCAGAGGAGCAATATCGATGGTAAATGGGGATGGGTTACTCTGAAGCAAGGCAACGAGAAGTTGTTCAAAGCTTACCTGGAGTCTATCTGTCACTTCAAGGATACATATATATTGGTGCAGCCTTCCTCGAGCAAGGCGATGCTGAATGTTTTTAGGACCGTACCGGTGTGCAACAAGGATGGTACCCCCCGTTTGAACGAGCTGGGAGACCCTGTGGTCAAACTGGTTTACAAGTTCCCGTTCCAGTGGACGAGGAAGCACTTCGATAACAAATTGGGTTCCTAGGTTTGGAGGGAGGGGAGCTCGACGTCGAGGACCAAGAGAGCTTTGTCGTCCTGACTGCCTTCGTGGCCCGGATCCTTCGGGTCCAGCGAGTGGGCCAGGGAGGCAAGCATGTGATCGCCAAAAATAGGGAGGTTGTATACGAGCCAGGCCTTATAATCGTCAAGGAGCTCCTTGAGAGCGAGGATCCCGTCAAGTATTTAGGTATTTATGCTTTGAATAGTTGTATATGGTTGTTGCTTTTTTGAATCCTCGTTTGTTAACTACGATATTTTTTTTTTTGCAGATAGCATGAATCCCGTCCAAGAGCGCATAACCAAGACTCTTGCTGCTAGAGTGAAGAGGGCTCAAAAGGACGCTCAAACTGGTTCGGGGGTCTCTCCTACTTCAGGGTCGGGCGATTCATCTTCGGGCCAAGCTACAGTTGCTCTCTCTCCTGCCCCTGTATCCTTGAAAGCAAAGAGGCCGCATGCCGAGGGAAGTGTCGATCTAACCGGGGAGAAGGGGAAAGGGACGTACGACCTACCCCCTTGTTGGCTGGAGAAGGCTTTCTTTGAGGGTGCAGCTCTTCTCCTTCCTCGGGCTGAATCCCTTCATCTCAAGGGTTTAGACCGCCCGGAGAAGAGGGTGATGTTGGCGCAGAACACTTGTGGTTTGATGAGGATACTAGAGATTGTTGTTGTTTACACCGAGGGGAGTTCTTCGTAGGAGGCAGAGTTGAAGAAACTTCAGGCTAAGCTGGATGCGGGCGAGAAGGGCAAATCGATGAGGAAAAGTCCCGGAGACTATCCGAGAAGGAATCAGGGAGACTCTCTGAGGAACGCAAGATCATGTTGCTCGAGAAGAGGGTTCTTGAGGAGAAGGTAGCGGCCTTGACTGTCGAGATTACGCTCGCTGAAGACGAGTCGGGGGATACAAAAGATTTAAATACTCAGGCCGAGCTTGTCGCTCATTTTCAACTGGCAGTGGATGATGTCTAGGCTGCCTCTGAGGGGAGTTTTGAGAATGTAGTGAAATAGATGCACGTGTTGAACCCCGGGGTCGAACTCAACACCTCAGGTGTTGTACCCCAAAAATTTCCCTCTCCAATTTCTCAAAGATTCTCTCACATAATCTCCACTGCTCAAAATTGCACAAGGTTTGATCAGCTCAAGATACCTTCCCAAACATTGATGACTCAAAACTAGAGTTTGAATTTGCACAAGTACAATTGGACTTTTAATTCCCCATGTAGTTTCCATGGATCATATTGGACTCTTAAGCATCAAATTGAAGAAGAGCAAGTTTGCTTCGATTCGTAAGCTTCGATTAAGCATTTGGCTTCCTTCGAGCAAGCTTGGTTCATAAGCTTCGATTGGATATTGGCCTCCTTCGAGCAAGCTTGGTTCATAAGCTTCAATTAGGCATTCGGCTTCCTTCGAGAAAGATGGGTTCACAAGCTTTGATTGGCTATTGGCCTCCTTCGAGCAAGCTTGGTTCATAAGCTTCGATTGGGCATTTGGCCACCTTCGAGCAAGCTTGGTTCACAAGCTTCGATTGGGAATTTGTCCTCCTTCGAGAAAGCTTGGTTCACAAGCTTCGATTGTGCATTGGCCTCCTTCGAGCAAGCTTGGTTCATAAGCTTCGATTTGGCATTTGGC